ATGAATTTTTCTAGATGAAAAAAAAATCACAAAAAACGTCTCACAAAACGATAACTGAATAATTTGATGATGATAATTTCGCTACCGTTATATGAAAATGACACTTTATCTTATGACAGATCGAAAAGGTGCTCACTTGATCAACACAGCATTTAAATTATAACAATTTTCTAAAATTGTTAAGTCCGAAAATCAAAATTATGACTATACCACATTCATTTATTGCTTCTTCATTTCGGAATACGTTCACATCGTACTCTGTTTTTGATGAGACAACTCTCACTCAATTATCTTAAGCTTTGAATTCCGACATTTCATCAGAGGAATAATTTTGGACTCCTATTAAATCTTTTTAGATTTAAGTGACTGTTTAAATTTTTGTGAAACTTTTCACTTTCATAAAATATGATTTCTATTTAATTGCTGTGTCTTTAGAAGAAGTTTTTTTTTTTTATTTTATTTAAAAATTTTGACAATTTCAAAATGTTATGTCAATAAATTCTTAATCAAACGGTTTTTTAAGAACCAATAATATACAAATTATACTATGTTCCAGTTTTTTTTAAAATAAAACCAAACTAAAGTCTTGTTTATTGAATCGGCTTCAGTAGAAATTAAATTAACCAACACTATTGAAATTCATTAGATCTATGATAAACTCTAAAGCAATGAAGACAATATTTTTTAAGCCATTTATAGCAAAAAAATTCATTCACCATCATGATACACTTTTGATTTAATTAGTTTCTCGTCCAATTAAATAGCTGTGGCAGTTTAATAAATAACCACTCATTTGTAGCGACAACATTTGTGGTGACACATTTTAAGTATTTTGATGTTATCGTTTTGCGTTATAGTTTTTTTTTTTTCGTCTTCATATTTATCGACCTTTTTGTTTTTATTATTATTTTATGTTTCTTTTCTTCTTTCGTCTTTATAGATTGTTCACGCAGAATTGGATTTTTATGCAAAATGTCATACCAAATGATAAATAAATTTCAATTTCTACGAATTTTTATGTTGATTTTCAAATTTTCATCTGAATTCACGTAAAGACACCATTAAATGACATCTTGTAAGCCAACGCAAACTTTAAGAGTTAAAATACCTTTTTTAGATTAATAATTTAAGGAGTCGTTCACATATTACATAACGCTAAAACTGAATTTTTAGACCCCTCTAAAATCCTTGTCTCCAATTTTCTATCGAAAAAAATTTCTTTTGTTGAAACTGTCACAAAATATCAAACCTCTTCTTAGGGATCACGTAATAAGTGAACGGCTCTTAAATAAGGAGAACTTTTAGGTGCTGCAAAAATGAGAAACTAATAATTCTTTTTATGAAAAAAAAAACACATATTGAAATTGGGCAATTCTTTTGGTGAAATAGTTTTGAAACATTGAGTATCACTAAGTATCACAGCACCGATTTTTAAAAAAAAAAGATTCAAGCTCAAAAATGTCATAAATAATAAATGTCAAAAATTAAAAAAAGATTTAATAAAATATTTATAAAGAATTGCCCACAACGAAAGAGACTTAGAATTGAAAAATACAAGAAATCAAACAGAATTTTAATGCTCATGTATGTTTGTTGAAATAACATGCACCCAGAAAGAACAAAATGCATTTAACAAATAATCAATTTATTTTCGATATCTCGAAAAGAAAACTCCCCAAAAAAGAAGAGGATAAATAAAAACAAACATGAGCATTCTACACTTCTTTCAATATCATCTGTTGAGCGCTCAGGTCATCTTAAAGTATAGGAATAAAGAAGGTTTAAGAAAAAAATGTTTCAATGGGTAAACGATTTCAATTCTCATCGCTGTTATATAAATACAAAAATTAAAAGCCAATAAATTATTCCAAAGTCAAAAGATTATCGGTAGTTGAAAACAAAACTTGAATAAATTGTTTGTGATCTTGGAAAGAAGTTATAATTCACATTTTCCCGAACATTTGTCTCATTCTTGCTTACTCGATGTGTCCTTTATCAACATCTAGCAACAAAGTCAAATAGTTGCTTTTGGCGCATTTTTTGTAATACAGTTTTGGTTTGAAATATAAAATATTTACTTGAACGCATAAAAAACTTTTTAATGATTGACTTATGAGTTTTCTTATATTCAGTTCATCCATCGACTTTACCAATCTTGTGACATTTTCTGTAATATCAGTCATAATTTTTTAAATGCGCTTAAAGCTTTTAATTTAATTTTATTTTCTAATTTGCTGCATCAACGGACAAATAATTTGAATACTCTAGATATCTCACGTTGTTCCGTTGTTAGTTTCAAACTGACAATTTTTGTGTTCTTTTGTGTCCCTCCTTTTCGTTGTGATGTACCATTCAAAAACGAAATCATAACAAAAAAATCTAAAACGCTGTGTTTTTCTCCTTCAAGCACGCAGCATGAAGTCGAAAAAATTTCTCGCACATAACGTTTAGGTCTCCTCTTTTTTAATTCTAATATTTTTGAGCATTCTTGTGTTTTTTTCATTTTACCATACAAACTTTTTTTAACTTCTTATGTTTTTTTGTGTATTGAATTTTTTTGAAATAAACTCAAATTAAAAATATTTTAATATCAATATAACAGAAGCATATTTACGTGCTCATAAAACTATTTGAAAGCAAATAATATTGGTCCAAATAAAATTTAACTGAAATATCAGCTTAATGTTATTCTCTAATATGCATGAATGAAAACTCATATTGTTTCGTTCAATACTACATTGACTTCAATCTTTAACTTCAAGTGTAATTTATTTAATTTCAAAATTGTGAGCACATCCATAGTAAATGGACATGTGTCATTAATTTCAGAACACGGAAAAATTAATTTCTTAGATTGTATTTTACTTTTTCTCAAAGTAAAATAACAAAAAAAAATGAATAAATAGACCTCCATCATCATGCAAAATTACAATTCCGTGTATCATCAGACAGAGGCTTGAGCTATATGTTGAAGGCAATTAGACTTGACCTTTTCACAAGATAGATAGATAGACGCGTTGGATAGCGAAAGGGAAAAAAGATGAGAAAAGCACAGAAGCGGCATGAAGAAGATTTCAGATCACAGAAATAATCATATTTGCATAATTGCATCAGTAGCAACGGCAACAGTAACAATCTTACATGAAAGCAAGGTCTCGAACATTTGTGCAATAAGTGAATAAATTTATTGAACTTCCATTAAGAGATAGAATTCTCTTTCATCATTCAGTCGGTATATTAAGCATGAGTTTAGTAATTGAATTATTGTTTCCTCATGTTTTTTTAACATTCGTGACATTGAAAATTGTTTTAGTTCCTTTTCGTCTACAAATGCATTTTTTTGCAGCTAATGTGAGCAAGGGCACTGAATTATAGATTCTTTATTCATATCCATACGTAATATTTTAATACTAAGCTTCTGTAAAAAAAAAAACATTAAAAATTTAGAGTTGTGCTAATAAACAAAATCATTTTAAAGATCAATCATCGAGCTGAAAACAGATAAAATACTCATTTTTCATGTACATAAAATGAGGCAAAAATCGAGTACGACAACGATTTCAAAATCATTCTTGATTGAATAAGAAAAGAGTAAGAAATATCATTAGCAATTCATGACATATTATATTATATTGTAAATTGCATCATACAAGCAAACAGTATAGTGCAGTGCATGTGAATTATAATTTACTGAATATTTCATCGCAATAATATGAAGTAATGACAAATTTGACTAAAAGTCGCTTAAACTGCATTGCTAATTCGCTGCCATAAACTACTTTTTGAGAGACTAAAATATAATGGAAGGAAACGAATGAACAGAAAATAATATTGCATGTCGGACACCCACGCATACTTACTTTAGCTTCATTTCAAATGCAATTTTATCGTCGTGTTGCAACAATGGCAATAAGATGATGATCGCAAAACAAAATAGAGAGAAGAAGAATGAATGAAACAGTAATGCACAAAGTAATAATAATCAATTTAATATAATGTGAAATCAGTACTTATTTAGTTCCATCTTGATCCAGTTCTCACGGTTTTTTCGCTGTTTTGCTTCATGAATGAATGCGCTGGTGAAGGAATAAAAAAAAAACAAAAAAAAATTGCTTGTAATTTATTATATTAAAAAAATGTATCAAATGCCTCACCTAGTTATGTTTTTTGTATGCTCTCTGCTGTTATGATATTCTCAACTCTTTTTTTGGTGTGATTTTGAAGGTTGAGCGGAAAAAAAATTAATATAAATCGATGAGCTGTCTGAAAATCAGCTATTGTACTGACAAATTAAATTATGCAGGTTAGTTTTATGCAGAGCAATACTTCAAAGATAATGAAATTGATGAAAATATCCTGACAAACTGTTTGGAAGGAGAGCTATTATTAGTAAATTTTTTAAAGTATCGTATAAAAGGACATATATAACACGGGTTAACCTAGCTCTGGTCGATTTACAGCTAATGAGAGTTTAACTTTTGAGGATGCACAAAACCACTGCATTCAAACTTAGGCATACAGTTTTTATTGAAATCTGAACCACTGCATTCATGACATTGTTGCCTATAGCCTACAAAGGAAGACTGTGAGCTTCATTTCCAACACATATGATTCGAAAAATAACAAGCGATAAATTTTCCATGCCTAGTCTCGAACTCATGATCGCTGTGTCAGTTTTGCAATAATTAGGTACCGAAGTTCTAAACCATTCCGCCACAGAGCCACTTCCACTCAGTTTTCATAAGTAGAACTTAAGATGCCGAGTAAAAAATTATCTCAAAAATGTTAAAATTTTAGTAGAAATTAAAAAAAATCCGTTCCTTTCATATATATTCACAACTGGGTAAATTCATGCTGAAGTAATTTTTTTTATTAATGTATACGATAGCCACAAACAATGCTGATGTCCAACAGGTTAATGAAACTTTTAAATCCCTTTTAATTCATTTTTAAACTGCTCGAGAGTGTCTCCGTCTAAAATATTCAACATAGGATGAAAAATGAGTGAACGGTGGTAAAGAAGTGAATCCAAAAATCCAAGAAGTTGTAGTTTTTTGCATAAAATCGTCACTTAAAACAAAAGAAAAATTTCCTGCATTTTTTTTAAATAAGATTTTTGTTAAATTAATTGCTTTTGGTTTAATTTGCGATGTAATTAAATGAGCAGTTTGTCATTTCCAATTTATTCAACAGGCAGAAGCAAATGTAGAGATCCTCTTCTGAAACCATTTTAATAAAAAAAATTTCGAGATAAGAGTCTTTAAAATATTCGTGACATAGAAATTATTTATTGTATTTTTCCAATATAATTTAAGCATTATTATTTCAATCTTGTATCTAGGTATGTATATATTTTATTAAAATGATTCAATTTTCTCACATTTGTTCTAATTTTTTTCTGTTTTGTTTTCATTTCCGAGAGACATAGAATTCAGAGGTTGATGCTAATGAATTTTAAACGAAACATGTTATTATAAAAATGTTTGTGGTAATTGCAATAATTTGTTATTACCGTATTAATTGTACATGTCTTTTAAATAGATATTCAAAGGTTTATATGAAGAAGTGTTAGAAATATCAAATATCGTTCTACTAGTAAAGTCTGGCAACGCTGTAGGATTTTTCAAATAAAGCAACAAAGAAAATGAAAAAAGAAGGGGAAATGGATCAACGAATCAGAGCATTGTAATTGCTTTAAACTCCTTCTAAAAATTCTCTTGAATACTTCCAATGTGATCGTTCGCAACATTGGAAATATCATCTGTTTAAGTATTTATTGTTGCAAATTAATGCAATTTTTATTGCACATATTTTTTTGGTTTATGTTAAATGACAAAATAAAATGTGTCATGAGACAGTAATTTTTAAAGGCATCCTATGTAAAAAAATTCTATCCTTCATAAAATTCAGGCAAATACTTTTAGCAAACGACATTTCAAGAAGAGAGGAACAGACAGTAATGTTCTGGGCGTTTTGTTTTTGTTAATCTTGAAATTTTTTTATGACTTTTTTTTTATGATAGGTTCATGAAAAGCATTACTATGAATAGAACTAAGAAATCACTATGGGACGAAATTTCAAAAAAGTAGGACATTCACTTGAGTATTGTTTTTTTTAAAGGACATTTAAAAATATACTCAGCTGATTACACTCTGACTATGCTCCCAAATTCGAGCATGCTCAAATGAGCACATTCTTAAGCATGCTCGTGAGCACATTCTTGAGTATGCTCATGAGCATATAACAATAGTTTTAAAACATTTTGGGACATTCTAAGTATTTAACTTTATAATAGTTTATATATGGGTTTTTGCATTAATATACTATGTATGTAAAATACAGTAGTGGTGTAATTCTCTATGTTCTTTTTCAGATTATTAATTTTCAAAATTTATTATAGAACATTAAAAAATCCTTAACTATTAAAGCCAATATTGAAATAGTTTATACTCATTTAGACGAGGAAGCACTTAAACAGGCTGATGTAACTCCTTCATTTATTCACAAGTTCTCTTCATTTGACAGATTGATGAATACGGTAATAAAATCACGTGAATGGCGTCACAGAATCAAGATAATAAAGATCAACAAGGAGATATTGCAAATGAGAATTGCTAAAAGAGTCAGAACAAGAAAATCTAATAATATTTTGCATGAGAAAATTAATTTTTTTGAAAGCGTAAGAAAAAATTTCTAAAACAATCAAAAATTTTGTGGATAGACCAAGCTTTATTATGTATTAGTTTGAAAATTTTAAAGCTTGACGAGTCAGATGAGCTGCGCTCAGCATTTAAAGACATAAACTACATCGATGGCAGTTACTCAACCTGTGTCTTAAGGTTTTCCTGTTGCTGTACCTATTGCTATATAAGCCAAACATTCCTGATCAAAAAAGTAGTCGACCATGAAATCTCTATCGAGATATTAAAGACGGTTGGTTTAAAATCCTTAGTACCACTACTCAGTACCTAATTTGAGCGTGTTTTTTTTTCTATTCGAGCTTATTTGAAACTTTTCCATTTTCCAAATGTCCCACTTTTTTCAATTTTGCCCCATAGTGGAATACTAGAATCAAAAGAAAAATTGCAAGATACGACAGTTACGTAAGCTTTATAGACTCGACAGTAAGATTGTCAACATGCTTTTTTGCAAACCTAATTTTTATGATTCTTTAAAATTTACTATTTACCTAGAAATTTCAAGCAATACGTAATTTTTGAATAAAGTAAGTACGAATGCTAGAACTGTCACTTTGGCTCAATTCATAACTAAAATCACTCTTAGTTGAAATGCGTTTTACTTTTAAACAATTTACATTTACTGTTCCATGCATCATTTTCGACTGTGTAAGAGGACAATAAGAAAGTAAAATTGTGTGGTGCATAAAAAAAACTTATTCTTATTTTGCGAATATTTAAAGCAGCAACAGAAGACGAAATTTTTTATGGACAATTGTAAAAAAACAAACATGTTGGGTAAAATAAACAATTATTTTGCTTAATTTTTGCATTTTTATTTTTTGAAACAAAATTCATACAAATTCACAAAAGGTAACAAAGAATAATGCAAAGAGGAAGGATTTAGAGATTTTTACACTTTTTTGCTGCTGTCTATATTTGTTTATTTTGGTTTGTGATTATAAAAGATTATTGATCGAATGTACGTGTGATTTTTCAGTATTAAATCTTTAACATAAACATCAACGTTGACTGCATTCATGACAAAATGGAAGAATTAGAATTGCAAAAAGTTTCTAAATGTAGCAAAATGTTCATGCTTAACTGGTTTAAATAACCACTAGAACCAGAAAATCAAATAAATGGATATTACATTTTATTTCATACCGCTTAACAGAATGCACAGAAGCACAGTAATTTATTAAATTCACACCGTTTCCAAGTGAGACTATTTTGTTTTTGTTCAGGTTGATTTCAGATGCCTGAATCTCTACATCAAAAAACAGAATTCGCTGAGGCATTACTGAGAAAATCGCAAAATGCGTTTTCTGAAAGCAAGCAATCATTTTAATCGGTAGTAAAGGTATTTTGAACTTCAAATTTTTTTAAATCCTTTACTAAGCTACTACCAAAAATAAAGTATAATTAATCTATTTCTGAACTGTAAGAAGCAATTACAGTGTAATATGTCATTGGAAATGAAATGAAATCGAACGCAAATCACAACTTCTTTAATTAAGTTAAAAAATTGAAAAATTTCATTAAAGTTAACTTTTTTTCACTAAGCTTCTACTCGTTACTAAGCTGCTAGTGACCGAAAAAATTCACTTTTTTTATTCTACTAATCTACTAGCTTATAACGAAAAAACAGGGTACAGAATTGAATGAAATAAACAAGGCTCTCGCCCATTATAATCTAAAATTAATATCATACAAAGATTATAATCTTAGTTTTTAAAAGATTATAATCTTCAAATATTTGCTGAGCATACCTTTTATCAATACTTTTGATGCAAACGGTGTGAATATATCCGCATTAAGTTTCTACCCGATACACTAGTTTATATACTTTACACCTTAATATCACTTCTTAATATCGCAACTGTTTGTGGCTACTGTTTAGTTTATTTATTTACAAGAAAGATCAGACAGTAGCCAGCAGCAAGAAACGAAATGTATGAAATCGCTCGTGAGTAAATATCGCGAGTGTTGCTTCAAGAAAGAAACCAATGAAAGATTATCAAAACATTTTGATGACAAGCACCATAATTTTATTCTTATATTCACACCGTTTTCACGTGTGAATCTATTGGTTTTGTTCAGATTGAAAAATCAGTTTTTCGTATTTTGTGAGAAAACAAAGCAAAATTGGTTATAAAAGGGCAAGAAGAAAAGTTTGTGCCTGAAATTTTACATCATTTTCAAAAAAAAGATTTCAAATTGGTTGTGGCATTGCTGAGAAAATCGCAAAATACGCTTTCTGTAAGCAAACAAGCAAGCAAGCAAGCAAGCAAGCAAGTTAATCAGCAAGAAATCTCAATAACGAGACATCGTAGAGACTTCTAGTTTTTTACATTTGATTCGTGCTGCTCTATAGAAGAGCTGTATTGTTTTTGGGCAAGGTAGGAACAGCCGTTGCTTCAGAAATGGCAAAAAACTTTCCTTTCTTACGAATTTTTTAAAACAAAAGTTGACTGTGATTTTTATAAAATTCAACTTTGTATGAAAATTTTTTTTAAAAAGCTTTTAAAGAATATTTGGCATATTCGTCAAGCTTTATACCATCAAACTTATGCTGAGCGTAGCTCAGCTGACTCGATAGCTTTATAACTTCAACTTATGCTGAGCGAAGCTCCACTGCCTCTCTAGCTTCATATCTTCAAACTTATGCTGAGCGTAGCTCAGCTGCCTCTCTAGCTTCATATTTTCAAACTTATGCTGAGCGTAGCTCAGCTTACGCGATAGCTTTATAACTTCAAACTTATGCTGAGCGAAGCTTAGTTGACTTATCAAGCTTCATACCTCCATACTACTGATGGGCAAATCTTGGTCTATCCATAAGACTTATGATAGTACGGTGTGAATATAATCCGCATTGGGTTTCTACCCGATACACTAGTTTAAATTAAACTTTCGATGAAAAATTTTTTTGAGCAAAGAACCAAGAAGGAAATACATTTTAAATTTTGGACTAAGGGCGACCCAAGTCAAAATCAATTTTGTCACCTTTTTCTTCGAGGGTTTATCCAAATTGATTGAAACTTTGCATAAATATTCTAGTGTTTAAAACAAATACAAATAAAACATCCTAAAATTTTTTTGAGCAAAGAACCAAGTAGGAAATACATTTTCAATTTTGGACTAGGGACGACCCTAGTCAAAATCAATTTTGTCACCTTTTTCTTCGAGGGTTTATCCAAATTGATTGAAACTTTGCATAAATATTCTCGACCTTAAAACAAATACAAATAAAACATCTTAAAATTTTTTTGAGCAAAGAACCAAGTAGGAAATACATTTTCAATTTTGGACTAGAGGCGACCCTAGTCAAAATCAA